TGAAGCCCACCGCAACTGGGAAAAAGCCCCTGAAAACAAATAAAGACCAAGTGTTATTACCGATACCATGTGTAACTACTCGTTAATCTCAGTGTTGGGATGAGCTAATAGACTAAAGTATTAACTGGTTTAGAGACTGGTGTTGTTACTTACACAATGTTTTGTTTATTGCATTTCAAATATGATGATACGCAATGAATACACTGACGCTTTCACTTTTTATTTTACTTGGAAATTCTAGAGTTTCTGGTTCAGCTCATGTGTTTTCCGGATCGTTTGAGAAGTGTGAGTGCTCGAATCGAGTTTTAAGCGCAGTTCACTTGGGCTTTGGCACGATACGCTTGTAGTGTGAGCCCGAAACTGAAAGCGAGACGTGACTTTTAAAGGGACTGTTTGATATGGATTTATTAATCATTCTTACTGTTCAATGAACGCAAACTGCCGTAGATTATTAAAGATGCAAACCCCTCACTGCACGACAGCTGCACCTTCAGCAAACCTCCTAATTCCTACAGCATGAGGAGTTTATAAGCGTCAAAAGTGGCTGATCTGTTCGGCAAAATATTTGACTGTCACTGCATATCAAACAACTTAAACAATTTAACTTAAGAAATCCCCGCTGTGCTGAGCGTTTACTGAATCATCAATGTCGTAAGTGTGCCCACTGCCCAGGCCCGAATGTAATGTGAGTGCGGGCTGTTGGGGGAGACAGAAGGGGGGAAAAGCGTGCTTTGGCCCGGTTCAAGGCAACTGTATAGTGCACAGGTGTCAACCTCAGTTCCAAAAGGGCCGCAGCTCTGCACAGTTTAGTTCCAACCCTAATTAAACACACCTGATCAAACTAATCGAGTCCTTCAGGCTTGTTTGAAACCTACAGGTAAGTGTGTTGGAGCAGGGTTGGAACTAAACTGTGCAGGGCTTCGGCCCTCCAGGAATTGAGTTTGACACCCCTGGTATAGTGAGAGTACGCCCTAAGCATCTTTCAGTGCATATTTAGCCTAAACTTCTTGCCTTCAAAGGATAGTTCACCCCCCCAAAAAATTAAGATTTCTTTATTATTTACTCACTTTCAGTTGATTCTAAACTTTTATGGGTTTCTATCTTCTGTTAAACACAACAGAGGATATTTTGAAGAATGCTAAAAACCATTGAATTCCATAGTAGGAAAAACAAACACTATGAAGTCAATGGTTACCGGTTTTCAGCATTCTACAAGTTATCTTCTTTTGATTTTAACAGAAGCAGGTTTGAAACAAGTAATAGGTTAGTAAATATCGGCAGAATTTAGATTTTTGAACTGTTCTTTAATTTTAGTTATGATGTAGACACATGGATGAATGAGAAAATGCCGGTACTCTTTGCTATTCTGCATTGGTGAATCTAATGGACTGGTGCATATACAAATAACAACATCATTAATCTCTCTCTAGAACAAAAGACAGATCATTAATGTCTTATGAGCAGGTAAGTTACATTTATTTGACTTAAATTGGTATGTTTAGCTACTTGGACATTAGACGACCGTCGCGATGCATGCTAAAAATGTTGTAAAGGTCAAACTACAACCTGCTAGACTATTCCAATGCAAAAGAGACTTTAAATATTTGTATGAACTTAAAAAAAATACAGAGAAGCACATTTATTTTAGATGATTTATTTGGGCGAAAACCAAGATGTGGAAGATGTTGAATAAAATCCAATTTAACCAATATAAACATTATCTGCACTTCTTGGATTTGACTCAAACATGTTAATTTCACTGTTTGTAAATATACAGTACAGCAATCCTGTTTTATGTAGATAAGAATGATATCAAAGTGAGTGTCCTTGTAGTATACGACCTGATAGGACATTCAAGTTTCATTTTTGACTATGGAAACTACTAAGGATCATTCTAATAGCATGTAAATCCAACATAATAATCCACATGATGTAAACAAACATGGATCAATGGCATGCACACAGTTTCCGCCAAATCCGACCGGTCAACTTTCAAACATGACTTAAAGAAGCTCGCCATAATCCTTTAAGATATATTTGTATTTGTGACTCACTCAATATTATTTACATTGTTCATTTCATGTGTATTATCATTAATAAATCCCCCTCCAACACTTTCATCTTGTTATAAAAGCTAAAAACGTACCTGAAAAGGAGGAAAAACCCATAGACTTCCAGCACCACACCTACAATCGGCCATCCTATGAGCACCACACAAACGCCTCCCAAGAAGAAACCGGTGGCTTTCATTTTATGCCGCTGGAAAAAGAACCGGAACGTTCTTTCCAATCCGATAACAAATGAAAGACCTGCGACAAATAATATCTACAGACAAACAAAAAACATCCACTTTAGGTTCGTTACACAGATTTAAGCAAACCACTCCATCCCATCTACTGATCTATATTTAATATTATATCTGAATTATATTAGAGCGAATTCAGGGCAATTTGGGACACTTGTTGCCATCGAGATAACCAAAGAAAAGTGTCCCAATTGACCTGAATTCTCCCTATATCAGTGGTTAAACTGCATACTCACATTTCCGATGGCCAGAAGTGCTTTATCAAAGAACAGAATCATTCCGAAAAAGAGGAAAAAGACGCCGAAGCCCGTCAGGCCCATCCCGATCTCTGAGCACACACAACAACAGACTTTATTACAGATACTGCAGGCAAATCAGACATCATTTACAGGCTGAACAAACATGAAAACAGGTATTTGGTGTGCTAGTAAAAACGCAAGTACTGATGCACAACTCTGCAAATATATTATTTATAGTTCTTTTAATATTCGAAAAATAATAGGTGATTAACAAACAGAGTTTAGTCTGTTTAACAGACAGAAAAGGAGAAATGTAGATGGATGAATAGATGGAAAAAGAGAAAAAAGATAGGTTGATTAATAAAGAGACAGAAAAATATAAAATAGCAGACAGATAGATAGATAGATAGATAGATAGATAGATAGATAGATAGATAGATAGATAGATAGATAGATAGATAGATAGATAGATAGATAGGTAGATAGATAGATAGATAGATAGATAGATAGATAGATAGATAGATAGATAGATAGATAGATAGATAGATAACGAGACAGAAAAACAGATGCATGCATGGATGAAAAGAGAGGAAAAATAGATTGATGGATAAATAAACTGATAAAAATAGATAGATAGAAATAGACAGTCAGACAGATGGATAAAGACAGAAAAATGAATGGATGACTGGAAAGACAAAAATAAATAGAAAACCATACAGAAAAGGACTGATATAGATATACAGATGGATAAAAAGATAGAAACGAGAAATTAAAGAAATAGAAAAGCAGATATAAAGATAGAAAAACAGATAAGAGACACAAAAATAAATAAACAGACAGAAAAAAGATAGGTGGATGGATGGATGAATTAATAAACAGACAGAAAGAGACAAAAATAGATGTATGGATGGATGAATAGAACGAAAAACGGATGGATGTATAGATAAAGAGGAAAAATAGATATAAAAAGCTAGAAAGACAGAGAGAGAAAATAGATGTATGGACAGATGAATAGATGTTAAAATAAAAATAAATCGATGTATTACTAAACAGAAAATTAAACAAAAATAGATACTGATAAAAAAAAACAGACAGAAAATGACAGATATAGTCTGGTTAATGATTTGGTTTTTGCGAGAAACAAAAAAAGACAAGATAGACAGACAGACAGATAGATAAAGACAGAAAAATGGATGGATGAATAGAAAGACAAAAATAAATAGAAAACCAAACAGAAAAGGACAGATATAGATATGCAGATGGATAAATAGACAGATAGAAAACGAGAAACGAAAGAAACAAGACAAAATAGAAAAACAGATAGAGACTAAATAAATAAATAGACAGACAGATAGAAAAAAGACAGGTGGATGGATGAATAAAAATAAAAAAGAGACAAAATAGATAGACAGGTAGAAACAGACAGTAAATTACAGACAGACAGACAGACAGACAGACAGACAGACAGACAGACAGACAGATAGATAGATAGATAGATAAGAGGTAAAGGTGGTTTTATATTCCCACATTTAGACTTTCTCCTTAATAATATACTTTCAGAAAAGTATTCTTTGCTAATTCTATATATTGAAATCATATTAGCAGCCAATGACCATCAAAAGCACAACATTGTCCAGTCAAATAAAGTGTTAATGTTGTTTTCGAGTCATTCTTAGATGTGATTTCAGTCCCAATATTCCAAGTACCATAGTAAACAATATGTGGAGCATGTCACTGAAGGAGTGTGCGAATATTAAACCCTCTTCACCTCAATATAGCTAGATGGAACACTATGGATAAGATTGCAGGACTGCCATATTTATACACGATAGTACTGATTCAGTGTACATTACTATAGTGGAAGTGGAATGACCGTTAAATCACAGAGCTTTACAGCAGTAACGTCACGCTAGTGCTTTGATTGTTATGTTAGCGGCCACGCCGTGTATCCTCATTCATTCCCATTCATCACTTCCAGAACATTTCTAGCGTTAATTCCGCATTTCTAATACGTTTTTACTTAAACTAACATCATTAACGTAATGTAAAAATACACAACATCTGACTTACTCTGCGAGTCCGTTAATGAAATCATGATTGTGTCGTTAATCAGCTGCTTTACTGACTGAGGAGTGAAACTGTTCTCTGTGTGTGATCGCCACGACACCGGAAACACGTAGAGATTCTTTAAACGTCTGAAATGACGCAGGGACGCCCTACTAAAAACTCAAATTCAAGATAAATACTATTATCATTGCTTTTTAAATTAAATAATAAAAGTAGATATATATATTTTTATCACCGTTCCCTCTCGACATTCAACGAAAAGTTTGTTAGTTTGAAATCAGCCTTTGTCTTGCAGGGAATTGTAGTTTTCAGTCCGACTCGAATGCGTTCTGAAAGGACACCCTAAAAACTACAAATCCCAAATAATGAATTGGGAAGCAGGAAGGCATGTCTTGTGTAGCCGGGAGACGTGTTCCCTGTTTATTAAAGTAACACTAGAGTTCACTTGTGCTGGAGCGTTTACACCTTTGTTGTTACAATGAAAACATCCGGATCTGTGTAAAGCTAAGCAAATTATAAGACTGTTTCGTTTTAGCATTAGCAATGAATACGCTGTTCGCGGTCACTTTGGTGTTTGTCGGTTGCTGCAGTAATGTTGTGTTCCTGGAACTTTTGGTCAGGTGAGTTGCTCGTATTTGCTAATTGTTCATAAAAGTGTGTTTAATGAATTTGAAAGCATCAATTCTTTCATTTTATATTGTGTTTTATTTACAGGGATTTCCCAGGATGTGGAAATATTGTCACATTTGCTCAGTTTGCCTTCATAGCACTGGAGGGCTTCATCTTTGAGACAAACTTTGGACGCAAAAAGCCACAAATACCCCTCAGGTTAATAATTTATAGCATTTATTTTGCTTTCACCATTTATTCTGTGAGATTAGCATGATGTAAACACGTTACTGGTTATTGTATGTGAATGGGTTGCCAGATTCATCTCTTTTGGTACATGTAAATGTATGTTTATTAATTTATGCTTAAAGAAACACAGTTTTTGCTTGTTGAAAGCTGTAAAAACCAGTCAGTGTTAATATTATAGGTGAGAGGTGAAGCCTTTGCTTGGTCATTGTGAGTTTGTGACAGCTTTGACAGATGCTTATTGATTTTACACCTTGTGTAGATAGCCCTATATTAGGGTCAAAGATGAAAAAGGGCTTTCTGGGCACCTAAATATTAACACATCTAAAAACAATTGCCATTAAAGTGTGTTGTTAAATTTAACAAAACATTTCTGAGCAAAACAATTGATGTCATGCAGATTTATAGAATACAACGAACCTAAAATGTCAATAATATGTAATGTACACCATCATATCTGGCTTGAAGAATAGCAAGAATCATTTCAAATGTCATTAAGGATCACTAGCATTAGCATTATAATTAGCATTAAAATGCTAATTAATTGTCATAGATTTCTCATTAACCTTTAAACCACAAGGTTTTAGTGAGTTTTTAATTATTTTAAAAATACAAAAAAATGATATTGTCAATCAATTATTATTTTGTGCTTTTAATAAAGTACAGTTAAGAACAAATTTGCTTTATTTTTTACTTTTAATTGAAAAATATATGTTACACAGATGATGGGTTGTTTATTTACACATATATAGACATTGAGATGTTAAAAGTAGACTTGTATTATGCATTTATAGTCATTTTGTGTTCTTTTATTAATATGTATATATATATATATATATATATATATATATATATATATATATATATATATATATATATATATATATATATATATATATATATATATAGTGCTGCGCATAAATGAATCTGTTTAGACTTAATATAGGAGTGTGTTGCATATATTCATTATGTATATGTAAGTACACACATGCATGTATATATTTGAGATGATGTTTATATTTAGATATAAAAATATATGTATATGATACACTATATATATATACTTTTATTTTGGATGCAATTAATTAGGATCAATCTTAACCCAGCACTAATAGCTATCTATAAAGTGTGTATATGTGCAAAAAGTTATGTTATTTATTTAATTTCATGCAGATGACAAATGTGTTGTTTTATCTTTGCCCCGTATACTACACCTATACCTGTTATCTATTACTAGCTATTATCTATCAGTTTTCATTGTGCTTGTTTTGCACAACCTGTTTGCATAGAGTATCATGTATGATAGCTGAGCGCTGTTAGTTACATTCAAAATAGTACATTCAGTGTGTAACTGCAGTGTTGGACGGGTAGTATACAGTATGCGGTGTGTGTGTCAAGCAATATGCAAGTATTTCATTCCAAACATAGTTTTAAACCTCAACATGATTATGTTACCGTTTAGTGCTAAATCTAGAATCGCGCGCTGGGAAAGATGTTTATCGGTGGTGAATGATTTTGTTTCAGGGCACAGATTTTATTCTTGATCCATAAAATGATTTATTGAGCAAAAAGTAAAGCTACTGTGATTGCATCCTTTAAGTAAAAAAGAAGTTGTTGTTTTTTCTTTTACTAATTTAAATTATTTTGTCAATATTATTTATTTATTAATTTGATGTCTGTTTATTTTAAGATAAAGCCTTCTCAACATAAAATCATTATTTGGCTTTTTTGTATGTGGCAAAGTTATTTGATTGTGTTTTTATTATTATTTTTCACACAGCTTACAGTTCAATGCATTATATATATAAACATGATAAAAAATTATTATTTTAAATGCTAAAACAAAAATAGTTTTGTAATATCTAATTTTAATTTAATATTATGTTTTCAGGGCTCAGATTTTATATTAGATTCACAAAATTATTTTTTGTGCAAAGAAAAGTATAAAATGGACCATTATCAAGTAATTAAAGTAAAGAAAAATTACTATATATATATATATATATATATATATATATATATATATATATATATATATAAATTTATTTATTTATTTATTTTTATTTTTTTTTATAAGGCCACGTGATGCATTTCTGTCAGTCTACTTAATTTGGCTTTTTTGTGACATTTAAATACAATTATTTAAAATGCTAAAACAAAAATAGTTTACTAATGTCATTTTAAAATGGTATCAAACCCTCTTCTAATGAACATTGAGATAAAATGTTCTTAAATGATATTTTTTCAGGGCACAGATTTCTTTTGGATTCACAAAATTCTTGTGCAAAACATTTATAAAAGCGACCATGATCACATCATTTAAGTAAAAGTAATTGCTTTATTTAGTTTTGTTATATTCATTAATCTTTATATATGACATTCACATGTAAGTGAGGGCATCACGGGGGCGCAGTGGATAGCATGATTGCAAGAAAGTTGTTGGTTCGAGCCAGTGTGTTTGCTTGGGTTTCCTCCGGGTGCACTGGTTTCCCCCACAGTCCAAACACATGCGCTGTAGGTCAATTGAGTAAGCTAAATTGGCCATAGTGTATAAGTGTGAATGCAAGAGTGTATGTGTTTCCCAGTGTTGGGTTGAGACTGGAAGGGCATCTGCTGCATAAAAAAAATGCTGGATGAGTGGTTAATTCTTCTATGGCGACCCCTGATTAATAAAGGGACTACACTGAAAAGAAAATGAATGAATAACCTTGCATGCAAGTGTAGTTGCATAGATAAAAACACCAGTTATTTTCTAAATAGTGGAACAGATATTTAAGAAGAAGCTATTTAAATATTTAAAACCATTAATCCTATAGTTAAACATGCATTATTATTAATTTTCATAATTTTTTTTTCTCTTTTGCAGTAACTATGTGATCATGGTGACCATGTTTTTTACGGTCAGCGTGATCAATAATTACGCCCTGAACTTTAACATCGCCATGCCTCTGCACATGATCTTCAGATCAGTGAGTATCCTTCATTTCCTGCCCTGAGAACCGATCTTATAGATGTTTATAACCTCTCATTTTCATCACAGGGATCTTTAATAGCAAACATGATTCTCGGCATTATCATCCTGAAAAAAAGGTATGCAAACATCAAGCACAAAATCATCACTCCGTGTTTATTCTGCATATTGTGCAGTCAGGTTATTATTTTTATGACTGCAGATATTCCATGAGTAAATATCTCTCCATTGTTCTCGTGTCTGTTGGCATTTTCATCTGCACGATAATGTCTGCAAAACAAGTGGTGAGTTTTTCAGTCACTTCAGTCTCGAAATACGATATTTGTTGTTAATTTATGCAGCTTGCATGCACTTTACTGGTTTGCTTTATATGCTTATTTTATTTATTTTATGCAGAATGTTGAGAAAGGCGGCACAGAGGAGGATGGAGTTTATGCCTTCATGCATTGGCTTCTGGGTAATATTTCCATTACACTTTAACACCCAGGCCTTTTATATACTACTTAAAATGTATGAAATGGCATTATTATTATTAATAGTCATCTAAAATAGCTGTATGCTAAATAATTATATGTGGGTATTCAATGCATAAATTTGTAGATAATACACTTAAAGACAAAAGTTTGTGGTAGTATTTTGTAATATTTAAAGTATGCGCTGTTTAGTTCAGATTTATTCTTATTAACGAATCCTAAAACTTTATTTTAATGTGACAAAATGTGTAAAATAATGTGATCAATATGCTTAAACATGCTAGTAACTTTCCAAAATGTATAAGCAACATGTTAGAAATGTGTAGCAAATTGTGCTTATGTTAGCAACATGATAATACATGCTGGCAGTGTGTTTGCAAATTGCTAAAATATTTTAGCAGCATGTTTGAAATGTGATGCACATGGACACAATAAGTGAAAACATGCTAGCAGATGGTAATTACAGCCGAACTACTTGCTAATACATTAGCAGCATGTTTAAAGTTTGATAAACATAGGCACAATATGTGAAAACATGCTAGAAAATGGTTATAACATTCTAACTACTTGCTAAAACATTAGCAGCATGTTTGAAATCCGATAAACTTGGGCACAATATGTTAAAATATGCTAGAAAATGTTTATAACATTCTAACTTCTTGCTAATACATTAGCAGCATGTTTGAAGTTTGATGAACATGGGCACAATATGTGACAACATGCTAGAAAATGGTTATAACTTTCTAACTACTTGCTAATACATTAGCAGCATGTTTGAAGTTTGATGAACTTGGGCACAATATGTGAAAACATGCTAGAAAATGGTTATAACATTCTAACTTCTTGCTAATACATTAGCAGCATGTTTGAAATAGGATGAACATGGGCACAATATGTTAAAATATGCTAGCAAAGGATTATAAAAGTAATAACTACTTGCTAATACATTAGCAACAAGTTAGTTGTGATAAACATGGGCAGAATGTATCAAAATATGCTAGCTAAAGGTTATACAACTCTAATAACTACTTGCTGATACATTTGCAAATGGTCATATCACTCTAACTACATGTTAAAACATATTAGCAGCATGTTAGAAATGTTATAAACACAGGCACAATATGTGAAAACATGCAATGGTAGCAAAGGGTTATAAAACCTCTACTTGCTAAAACATATTAGCACCATGTTAGAGATGTGATTTTAATATTTTGGGCATGTTTATCATTATATAAACATGCATAAAAATTGTTATAAGACTAGCTACTTGCTAAAGCATTTTAGTACCATGTTAGAAATGTGATAAACATGCTAGCAAAGGGTTATAGCACTAACTACTAGCTAAAACATGCTAGCATAGGTTTATAGCATTAACTACTAGCTAAAACATGCTAGCAAAGGGTATTTACACTAGTTACTTGTGAACAAAATGCTAGCAAGAGGTCATAACACTAACAACTTGCTAAAACATATTAGCACCATGTTAGAGATGTGATTAAACATTTTGGGCATGTTTATCATTATATAAACATGCATAAAAAGGGATATAAGACTAGCTACTTGCTAAAGCATTTTAGTACCATGTTAGAAATGTGATAAACATGCTAGTAAAGGGTTATAGCACTAACTACTAGCTAAACATGCTAGCAAAGGGTTATAGCACTAACTACTAGCTAAAACATGCTAGCAAAGGGTTTTAACACTAGCTACCTGTGAACAAAATGCTAGCAAGGGGTCATAACACTCTAACAACTTTCTAAAACATATTAGCACCATGTTAGAGATGTGATTAAAATATTTTGGACTTGTTTATCATCATATAAACATGCATAAAAAGGGTTATAAGGCTAGCTACTTGCTAAAGCATTTTAGTACCATGTTAGAAATGTGATAAACATGCTAGTAAAGGGTTATAGCACAAACTACTAGCTAAAACATGCTAGCAAAGGGTTATAACACTAACTACTTGTGAACAAAATTCTAGCAAGGGGTCATAACACTCTAACTATTTGCTAAAACATATTAGTAACATGTTAGAAATGTAATACGCAGGGCCACAGTTGTTAAAACATGCTAACAAGTGTTATAATACTGTAACTACTTGTTAAAACATCAGCAACATGTTAGCAACATATTAGTAAATATATTACAACTACTACAGCTACAAATATTTATTTAAATACAGAGTTTTATTTTGGATGTGATTAATTGTTTCCAGCACTTATATGCTAGGAAACAGCTTTGTAGAAATGTGTTCGCAATGTGATTAAAACATGTCAAGAAGATGATAAAACATGCTAACTGTGCTACATGTTAAATGTATAATGTGAAATTTGTTATGTGAAATTATTGTGTGTTTGACTGAATTAGTGCTATTGTGTTTTAGGTATCGCCATGTTGACGTTCGCTCTGCTAATGTCTGCAAGAATGGGCATTTTCCAAGAAACTCTGTACAAGAAGTATGGCAAACACTCCAAGGAGGCTCTGTTTTACAATGTGAGTTTCTGAAAGTGCACATAATGCTGCATGTACCCTACAGATACGAGTATGTGGGATTAAGTGGGATTTGTTTTGCCTTTTTCAGCACTGTCTGCCATTACCAGGGTTTCTCCTGCTGTCCACGAACATTTACAATCACGCAGTTCTCTTCAGCCAGAGCTGTAAGTACTGATTCTGCACTAAATTATCACTAATATTTAATATCACTAATGTGACCAATGCAAACTAAGGCTGCATTTAGCTGTTTGATCAGAAATACAGGACAATAAATATATATATATATATATATATATTTATATAATATAATATATATATATATATATTTTTTTTATATACATATAAATATACATATATATATATACATATATAAATATATATATGTGTGTGTGTGTGTGTGTGTGTGTATATATGTATATCTATATATATATGTGTGTGTATGTGTGTGTATATATATATATATATATATATATATATATATATATATATATATATATATATATAATTATATATATATATATATATATATATATAATTATATGTATGTGCGTGTGTGTGTGTGTGTATATATGTGTGTGTGTATATATATATATATATATATATATATATATATATATATATATATATATATATATATATATATATATATATGTATATATATATAAATATATATATATATATATATGTATATATATAATTTAATTGTATTTATATCCCTGGTGAAAAGCTAAATGATTGTAATTTGCTAATTTGTGGAATCCCGAATAAACAGAAGTAGCATTTATTTGAATCATTTGAATGTCTTTACGCATCCCTACAGAGGTAAATTTTTTTTCAAATAAATAAATAATAATCTAAAAGGCAGTGTGAATTTTTTTTTTGTTTCTTTTGTTAATTTTCTCTTAAAGCTCCAATGGAGGTTCCTGTGATTGGTCTGTCTATGCCGGTCATGTGGTTTTACCTGCTGATGAACGTCATCACCCAGTATCCTTTCACATTCATCTATATGGGATAGGACTGTAGAATTATGATACCCTGCCAAAAAAATCTGAATTAATTGTTATGTCAAGACTTTAATTAATCTATATAGCATTTCATATAAATAACAAAATCAACTAGACAGTAAAGTTTGTAGAAACACTTTGATTAGCTTGAGAAAGAACTTTAAAACGGATGTTGACTTTAAGCATGCATTTAGCTTGCTAACATGACTTAGCACATAGCTATAACATTTCAGCACGTTTTTGGCATCTTTCGGCACATAATGTTATCATGTTTTAAAATGTTATTATGTTGCTAGCATGTAGTCAACATGTTTTTACCTTGTTTTAGCATCCTGATAACACGTATTAACATATTATTAGCATGTTACTAGCCTGTTTTATCACATCATTAATTCAGAATGGCACGTTTTAATATGTTCTCATGTTGCTAGCATGTAGTCCACATGTTTTACCTTGTTTTAGCATCTTGATAGCACATTTTAGCAAATTAATAACATGTTACTAGCCTGTTTTATCACATCATTAATTCAGAATGGCATGTTTAAAATGTTATCATGTTGCTAGCATGTAGTAAACATGTTTTTACCTTGTTTTAGCATCCTGATAACATGTTTAGCATATTAATAACATGTTACTAGCCTGTTTTAGCACTTGTTATTAATTTAGAGCATTGTTAGCATGACTCTGCTAACATTATAAAGTGTTATATTTAAACACAATGGACTAGCATTTTGCTAGGTAACATGTTAACCTTCTAACATGTTAAAATGTTTATGGGATACATGGTTTCTGAAATGGCTAATGTTGTTTCACACTGTTAAAATGAATTAGCATGTTTTAGCATGATTCTAACAGTTTTAACTTATGCCTGCCTGCTTAAATCATAAGATTTCTACCATGTTTATAATAATAATTAGCCATAGTTAGCATGCTTTAGCATCTTGCTGGGATATTAATTTAGTATGAATTAGCTAATGCATTTATAACATACATTAGCACATTAGTAAGATGAATTAGCAAGTTTAACATAGTGATAGCATGATTTAACCTTTTAGCTTATTTCTGTTAGCTTATTTCTAGCATGTTTCTCATGTTTTTAATATGTTTTAACATATATTATTATCATAGGTCAGCATGTTTCTATCATGCTTAACATGATGCTTGCCAGTATCAGCATGTTGTTAACATAAATTATGTTAACATGTTGCATGTTCGATTTAGCATGTTGCTATTTCTATTACAGCTAATATTGTTACTTTTTAGCATGTTAAAAGCTTTTATGGTTAACATATTGCTAGCATAAATTGACTTGTTGTTAGCATGAATTAGCTAATGCATTGATTACATACATTAGCACATTGGTAAGATGAATTTGCAAGTTTAACATAGTGATAGCATGCTTTAAAAGCACTGAACCTAGCTAACTGGTTTAAGATTGCTATCATGTCTAGCATGTTTACCATGTTGTTGACATGTTTTAACATACTTGTATCGTTACTATAATTCAGCATATTTTGATCATGCTTAACATGTATTAGCATGTTTTTAACATGAATTGTCATACATGCAACATGTTATCCTAGCTTGTAACATGTTTGAATTAGCATGTTGCTATATCTATCACAGCTAATATTGTTACTATTTAGCATGTTACAAGCTTTTATGGTCACATATTGCTAGCATAAATTGACTTATTGTTATTGTTAGGATGAATTAGCGCAATTAGTATTTGAATTATGCTAATATGATGATGCACATTTCACCAAATATGAAACAAATATGTCATCCTTAACCAGCTTTCTTAGATACGTGTGTATTCGCGGCGTGTTTATCCTGACCACTGAATGCGCGTCGCTAACAGTCACTCTGGTTGTAACGTTGCGCAAGTTCCTGAGTCTCATTATTTCAATCCTGTACTTCCAAAATCCCTTCACAGCCTGGCATTGGGTGGGAACGGCTGTGGTATTTCTGGGAACGCTGCTCTACACAGAGGTTTTGTCCAGCATTCCTGCAGCTTTTAAAGGATATAAAGCCGACAAGAAGGCCGAGTAAACCGTACACGAACTTTAGCTCAGTGCAGTTGGGTTTCATTGTTGTGTCTCATATCATTTTTCATCTCTAATTTATTCATTGTGAACGTATGAGCACTTGAAGTACAATTTTATAGCTGTTTTTGAGCCAGGTGTGCGTGTTAAGAGCGTTCATATGTTCACTCGTGCAGTCCTTGACCTGTTTTCAACTCATTTTATGTTTAAAATCAACATGATGTATTTTTTATTTCCGAAAGATTCAGGACTTGCATCTGCTTCGTATTAATGCTCACTACAAGTTAGTGCTATTTATATATTTACCATTTTTAAACACAGCCAATTTTAGGCATTCAGAAAATATGTTGGCCCCACTTCCATGTTTGTGTATTCAGGTGAAATAATGCAGTATGTATGTGACTACAAATATTGTAGATCTCATAGTCGCTTTTAGCACATCCGTAAGGTGAGTTTCAGGATGAGTTTAAGCAATACTGTAGAAAACCAGACTGCCAATATTATAGAAAATATCTACAGATGTTATGTTCATATTAGCAATTTTGCATTATTTTGCGTGAGAAATTATTGTTTTTATTATTTGTTATATCAGTTAACACTAGCTGAGCCCTTATATACTGAAGGAACTCTTTGATTTGTAGCTCTTTTCAATCTCATTTGAAATTTTTATTGGTCTGTTGAGCTGCAGTTTATAATAACTAGGATTAATCCATTTCTTTTCATGTTCTAGTGATATATTTTTGGCTTTAAAAGTGATTTTGTACCTCATTGTGACTGAGTGATTGTTAATAATAACTAGGGTTTTCTGGGAGTAATGCATTGTTTGTTGTTTATATTGAATTTGGGAGCTCACATAGAAGCTAGTTTACGAAAACTGATCATGGTTCTTATTTTTTTTTGTCCAAAATATAGAATTAAATGCAGTTATTGTTAACTTTGTATAATTATATTACTAATGAGCTTTCATTGTATGATGTATATTTAATAATATTAATAGATTAATATTTCAAAATAATTGTTTTTAACATATTGAATAATACTAATAATCTCATTATGTATTATTAATATGTATGCCAATCAAATTAATATATAACCTATACTATATATACTATACTCCTTTAATTTCTCATAAACAAATATATTTACAAATACAACATGTATTGTTATTAACAGTTATTGAAGCTACCAAAAGTAAGAGAATGAAGACTAGAAGATATTTTTGACAAACCTACAATCGGTAATGCAGTTATTTTAATGTGAAATGTGTAGTGACAGAACATTTCTTAAGTATTATAAATAATAATAATATCATGCATTATTAATAAGCTATATCAAATTAGCCACGCCCTCAAGAGAAAAGTCATAATGTTGTTCATTAATCCATTATTATTACCTATTAGGCGTTATTATATTAACAAGAACACAAAATATAAGCGGTAATGCAGTTATTTGAATGTAAAATGTTCAGTGACAGAGCATTTTTGAAACATTATGAATAATAATAATAATCACATCATGCATTATTAATAGGCTACATCATACAAGCCACGCCCTTATATATTTACTATCGCGAAAAGGCGCCTTTAATTCGCTATTGAACGTTATGATCACATGTATATTAACAAAAACAACACTTATTGTAATTTATGATCGTGATTTTCTCACATAAGTGAATGTTTGTCTCTGAGGAGGTTTAAATAAACGAGGGGCTGTGGAGGAATTTCTCCTCCGGCGCTGAAAAAGTGGGAAGGGCTGAACTGAACACGCGCTTTTCGGCTTTGGATGTTGATTCCTTCATTGAAGGTCCTAGTTCTTCACATAAATCACTTTATTTGACTGTTTCCAATTATAATCATCACAATAAACTGATAACTCGTCGCGGTTATGGGTGGAAACAGCAGCTCGCGCCACGTTTCTCTCGACGATGAGGAGGGTGTTACATTCGTCAAGGGCATTCGGGTAAGTGCACTAAATAAATATAAACGTATCCCATTCATTATTAAGTATTTTAAACCAACATTTACAACAAAACTTTTGATACAAACTTAAGTACGTATGTTTGTTGTAACACGTTGTTTGCGCTCAGAGTTTCACTGATTCAGTATGAAGTTTGGATAATATAATAACTTGGAGGTTACAGACGCTTCAATATGTAATTCATTTTTTTAATTCAGTTTAATAGGTGCAGAACGAAATGTCCTGCAGGACTAGTAGCTTGTAGTGTGTGTGTGTATATATAGCTTACAGGTCATATACGTTGACCTGCTGCATACTAAACTTGCATGTTACACCTAAACATAACTAGTACCTCTTTACTTACATCAGACCCATGTGCTTTAAAGTGTATACTATTGACCACACAACCCTACATCAGTCTCAAAGTACTAAAATTTACCCTTGTATTTGTTTTTAACAAATAATCACAGATTTGGCTGAATTTATACTATGGTAAAATGCTGTGTTTTTGGCTATGCCATGAATCTGGTCACCATTTAATCATTTATGTAAGATTTTACACTGCTATTATAATTACCAGGATAATTAATGACAAACTTAACACACTTCACATACTATTCTTATAGCTTAGTGAACATAAATCATGATTTTAATATGGTAAAAGTGTAGTAATCATGTTGGCACTCTGACTACCATTTGTACAACCACATATTTACTATAAATACTATGGTTAAGTTATAGTTTTTCTAGCAAATCTATAGTGGATTTGTGATTATCATGCTTTAAAAATGACCATACATTTTTTATAAGCACTTACAATTAGAGTTACACTAAAAAGAAATATCCAGTCTACAAATTCCAGGTAAGTCCAACTATATCACACAATTTTACAAAAGATTTAATTCATTTTGGTTAATAGTAGTTTGCTAAAATTCTTGGTCCTGATGTGAATCACACTCAATCTTCTATGTGAAACAAAAATAGTTTTCAAATGCAGTACCACTGTTTTATTATTATTAATAATCAATTGTGAATGTTTGTCAATGCTATTTCTGATCTGATGCCAAACAGCTTTCAGAGCGAGTGATTGATCGCATGAAGGAGTCTCCTCATGTGCAAACTTCAACCAAAACCTCCACGCAGTCAGAAAACACTAAGCGTTCGGTTCCAGATGAACGTCAAGTACCTATAATGCCTCATCCTCCCTCGTACGCCAGTGCACTGGTCTCTTCTGAGCCACCAGCATCTTCAGTTCCTGTGATTGAAGAAACATCTACACCAGCTTCACCTGTGGGTCATACAACAGGTGATGCGCATGTAGTTTTGCCTGCTGAACCTATAAATATTCCTTCAACAAGTGACTCAATAACACCTCCTCAACTACCTAGTGCACCAGTTGAACCCTTCACTCCAGTTTTAACCACTACGACTGATCCTGAATCTAATACAACTCGTCCAATCACAGACTCGCTTGCATCTTCTGTTGAACCTGTAGTTGTGCAGAATGAAGGTCTTGTTGCTGAATCTACTACACTATGGTCTTCTGATTTACCTGTCGAGAATTCACACTTCCCAGCCTCCATTCCCGATTCCTCAAGTTCTACTGTAGTTTTGCTTGATGAAACGTCTTCCAATGCAATGGATGTGTCTGGAGAATCTCCTGTTTCTTGTCTTATGCCAGTCGAGGAACCTGTTGTGCCTTCAATCAGTGGCCAAGTCTTTCCATCACAAGCGCACGGTAATTCATAATCTTATAATCTGGCTCATTAGTACATTTTTGGGTATTTTTTGACAAGTCTTCACTGCACATCAATCTTGAGCTCAACTCTAAATTCACAATGAAATCGAAGACCTTTTTAACTTAATGTTATTCTAATTATGGTTGTTGTTTTTTTGTTAACCTTTCTTTAACTCTTGTGTACTTTTCAAATTGACTACCCTTTCGTTATGTTGGGGACTGTTTTTGCCCCATTGACTTCCATTATAACGTCTTTTTTACTGCAAAGCCTCGACACCAAATAATCAAACATTTTTTATTGTTGCTGGTTTTACCTGTTGGGAAGAGGTACGTTGTGTCATTTTTATTATTGATCATCCGTTGGCAGCATTAACCTTTTGGATAGGCCTGTGCAAAATGGTTTCTGGCTTTTAAGTGTAGTTCTATGCAGTAAAACAGAAGTTTATGGTGTGTGTGCATTAATACATTTACTATGTTTACTATGTTCTGAGAGCTGAGCTGTTTATTTAGATTTCTTCAGACATATCAAGGTAAGTGTGCAAAGGTCCCGTCCCGTCCCTTTGCACCCCCCCCCCCCCCACACACACACACACACACACACACAGACTATACTGCATATAACTACAAATCCAGAAACTAAACTTTTTCAACTGATGATCAACAAAAAAAATTACAAATTTGACCTCTTCCTAATAAGTACCACCAACAATAAAGAATAAATAATAATATGCTGGCATTTGCTTTGCAATCAAAAAATATCATTATAATGGAAGTCAATGGGGCAAAAACAGACCCAACATTACCAAAGGTAGTCAATTTGGCCAGACTATATTGTTAAATTTCTGAAAAATTTCAAAGCGTTTTCCCAAAATGCGTGTCTAAATAAGATTCGCCACCAAAAATCTTTCCATTTGCTGAAATAGAGAAAGTTGTGGCCAAATTGGTACTCAAAATCACCCCAAAGTGGATGAAAACAACCCTAACAGCACACACAAGGGTTAAAAAAAAACTTTCAGTTTGGTTTAATTATGTTAATGAGTTTCAGAATTAATTTACATTTGCATTTTTAAATTAAATTTAATTAAATAATATGTGTTATAACTTAAATATGTGTTATAACTAAAATACAATAATTAAATAAAAATGTCTAAAAACAAACATAGTCATATTTCAGCCAATCAAATGTGGCAAAAAAAAACAAAAACGAAGAAAAATGAAATCTATAGGTTGTTTAAAATCTCATTAACGTGATGTGCTTCATATAATCAGGAAAAATCTCTATTTTTACTCTAATATGATGTAATTTCTTCTGTTTAGTCGATGAAGAAAAACTCAGGAAGGAAATCAGAGAAGATCTTCTAAAGCAGATGAGTGAGGAGATGAAGACGGCAGAGCTCAACATCCGACAACAGTACAAATCTTTTCAATGAAGCTCAATCAAAACCTTAAGCTGTGTTTCCATCCAAAGATGTTACATTTTTGCGCATAGCTGGAATACTGCATTAAATATTTGCGAATAAAAGCAGCGTTTTCATACAATGAGTCAAAGAGAACAATATTATCACCTCCTGGCAAACTGGCACCAAATATGAGACAGAGAAATGTAGTTTAGCGCATTAAGAGAAGCCACTGTCGTCTCTTTTTCTTCTCTATTAAATGAGTTGCGCCTGGTGTTGCGAAACACCATAAATGCAATGAGGTGGCTTTTGGAGGTGTGTGATGCCCTTTGGTAGATTGTAACAATATAATAATAATAATACTGAACCACTGTGATGACAGACTTTGGCTGAGGGATTTTAGAAATGAACAAAACAACATGCATCAGAACAGATGTTTCACAATGTGCTGGAAAAGCTGCAAAGTCTATTAATGTGTCCCTGAAACGCATTTAACCGTCACATCATCTGTTCAAACTAAACCATATGACTTTAACAATGCAATTTTATTTTAGTAAATGTGTTTCCATCATCAATTATGCTTAATTTTTCCTTATCGAATTTAAAATGTGCAATGTGCATCTTGGCATTTTCAAGTATTTTTCATGCAATATTCCAAAATACACATAAAATAGGTGGATGGAAACATTGCTGTTCAGTTTTAGCACTAAAGCTGTATTAACTGTGTGTTTTCTTTAGACTGGATAAAGAAAAAGCGAAAGCTCTGTCTCAGGCTCAAGCCACTGCACGACGGCAGATTGAAGAAGAAGTGAAGAAGCTTCTGGAAGAGGAGAAAACATCTCAACAACAGACTCTAGCGGACGCCATCAGGAGAGAACAGCTGAGTGTTCAGGATGAGCGTCTCATTACACAGTATTATGTAAGTCGGTTTGCTGTATTGTGTGTTATTGTGTATAGTCGAAGACAGTTATTTGCTCTCTAAGTGCTGTTTAACAATTTTCAACATAATAACTCATTTCTAATAACTGATTTCTTTTATCTTTGCCATGATGACCACACATAATAAGTTACTGGTTATTTTGCAAGATTCTAGTTTAATTTAAAGACTTAACTATGTTATCTAGGCAAGTTTGGTTAATTAGGCAAGTCATTGGACAACAGTGGTTTGCTCTGTAGACAATAGGGTACATGCAGAGCTAATGTTTCTTTCCATACTGATAAACGTCCGGTAAACGGTTAATGTGACTTTTCGATTTTATACAAGTCCTTTTACAGCATCGATGTTGTAATATAATTAAAATATAATCTTCAGTGTTTATTTAGTTGCTCAAGTATAAAGAGATAAAAAGACATTTACACGCTTGCGCCTGTCAGGATTAGCAGGCTAGCGCAGAAACTCCAATGAATATACTGGGATAAAATAACTGTTCATGTTATAAAGAAATGGCAGGGAAAATGTAATTTAATGCAGTGCTACTTGTATAATCTGAGACCCACTCTATATCGGATATCACTCAGCTAGTTGAGATAGCTGATTTTTAAAGAAAACAGACCTTAGGCCTCGTTTACACTAATGCGTTTTAGTTTGAAAACGCATAAGTTTTGCTACGGTTACGCCATCCGTCCACACTACGCCAGAGTTTTCAAGCGCTGAATACGGAGCGTTTCGGAAACCCTGAAGAGGCCGTTTTCATTCTAAAACGCTGCCGCTTTGTCTCAGTGTGGATGGGGGAAAATGGAGACATCTGAAAACGGAGGCGGAGCTGCAGACATTCGCCTCTCTGATTGGGGCTTTTCCTCAATATTAAGTTGCCTACACACAGTTAAAGTTCTGCATCCTCTCCTTGTAAGTGCAGACTTCACAAGTTTGATATGGAAAACAGACTCCAGAGAAAATATCGGGTAAATCTTCAAAGGGAACAGTGTAGTGAATAACCTTATTCACATCATTCTGGCTACATTGTTTCACTTAACAATAAAATAAAAACATGAAGGAACTGCTATTTTCATTTTGATATTAACAACTTAACAGACAGCAGAAATGTTGAGGCGTTGTGCTGCATATATGAGCGTCATCTTCACTGTATGCGTAACATTACTGCCTCCTTTCATTTTCGTTAAAAACACGAAACATAGCCTCTCTTTTGCTGAATAGTAGTTTTAATAATCAATAATGGCCATTATAAAAGTATAACGTATAATAAGTTTATACATTATAGGAAATAAAGGCAAGCAATTACTCAATATACAGACTGTACATGGTTAGATTAATTATTAATTTATTTTTGCGCTCAGCCAAAACACGTTACCTGAGAACAGGTAGCCTAATAGATTCAAAAGACCAAAGTCGGGGAATATGTTGTTAGATATAGACAACAAGATGAATTAAATATTACGTTTAGCAAATATAGTGAGATTAGATCCAGCGGGAGATCCTTGATGAACACAGCTCTCATCTGGGTAGGTAGGCTGCAGCGCATACCAGAGAGTGTGTTTGTGGTCACGTGATGTGCGTTTTCAGTGTTTTGGTATATACGGAGAGTTGTTTAGAAACGCTAGTGTGGACACGAATCGTTTTCATTCTAAAATGCCGTTTTATAACTAAAACACATTAGTGTAAACAGGGCCTTAAAAGGCTATGAAACCCCCCTGTTTCAGCAGGGTGTTTTCACACCTTTAGTCTGGAAAAAGTCAGGAAAGTGGGCGTGTCCAGCTCTGTTTAGGGGGGAGTGTCAGAGGAGGGAAACAGGGAAGATGCATAAAAATTTGCATAAAAATGGGAGTTTCAATTTGGGCACACGCTGATTTTCACAGAGGCAAAACAAACACACAGACGCAGGAGAGAAAGACGGTGACTGTGTTTACATGGACATCAGTAATCAAATTATTTGACAATTTTTTTTATTTTTAGCTGCAGTTTGGCACTTTCATTCAGCAATTTCATTCATGTTAAGTTTTCTATTTTTGGACTTCCTACCGCACAACACCACATGTTTGCTATTGCAACCGGTCTTTTTTTTTTGCAACTGGGGACCCATGTGGCGTAGGTTGGTAATTCGTCTATATAATTTCATTTTTATTTTTAAATTTCCTTTACTTTCACTTGAAAATAACAAAAAAACAGCAATAAAAAAACGTGCAAAATATATAGACATATTTTAGAAAAATCAAAAGTGATTAAAAAAAACACAAAAAAGGGAAAGAGTCAAATAAAACTACATTAAAAATATCATTAAACAATATGATAGTATTTGAGTGATGCTAAAACTACATTTTCCCTCCACACATCTGCATGTTGTCACCTTATAAGGTTCTATCTGACATTTTTGTCTAAGTTTAGTAATTGACTTCTTCTTATTAAATTACAACTTATTTAGATTATGGTGTGTTTTTTAATGAGTTGTTTACATTTTAATTTTTATTTTAAAAAACAAATGTTGCACACACTGTTTTTGTTTTTGGAACTGTTTTTCACTGTTTTTGAAATGCAAAAACTTTGAAGCTCAATCTCTCAAAATCCTTTAGAACGCAGATAGAACCTTAGAACTCCAAGGTGACAATGTGTTGGCTTTGCATATGCTTACATGTTAAAAATGCTTGAGGTTATTAAAATAGTAGTGCTTTACTGTCGCTTACTTGCTTTTCTGCTTTCTCTCGATCTGCTTGTGTTCTTCAGTGGATGGAGAGGAAGGTAGGACTCTTCATTTCATTCTTCATTCCGCTTGCTCAAGTGATTTGTAATCATCTGTTTTAGCCAGATGTGAGCGAGCTGATGCTTAAATGTGATTAAACTAAACGAGCTCAGTTTATTTTGCATTATTCTGTCATACACAGGCTGTAAATGCATCTTTTCTACATTGATTTACGGGCTAATCAGGTTTATTTTTATATTTTCACAAAAGGCTCAGAAGCTTGAAGAAAAGGAGAAGGACCTGAAAAACCAGGACGATTTATTTCGGCAGCAGATTGCAAAGATGGAAGAAAAGGCAATCGTTTTATAAGCTTCTCTAGTTATATCATCTCTTCATGCGCAGTATATTATTTTATGTTACATGCATCTCTTCTTTTGTTGTCATACAGATGTCTAAATTCACTAAAGTCACTTCTGAAAATTACAAGAAAGGTTTAGAGGACGCACAAAACCGATTCAGGTAAGGGTTCAGGGTTTTTCTTTCATTCATTTTCCTTCGGCTTAGTTCCTTATTTATCAGGGGTCACCACATTGGAATGAACCACCAACTATTTCGGCGTATGTTTTACGCAGTGGATGCCCTTCCAGCCTTAACCTAATATTGGGAAACAATACACATACACCCATACACACCCATACCCATACACACTCATTCACACACACACTTATACACTACGGCCAATTTAGTTTTTCCACCTGGCCCAGCCGGGACTCGAACCTGCGACCTTCTTGCTGTGTGGTGACAGTGCTAACCACTGAGCCTCCGTGACGCAGGTTTTTCATTGTACTTAATATTAGGAATAATTGACAATTTCCCATTGAATTATTAGACATTAATGCACACCTGAGGTGGTGATGTGGCCATGAGCAGAGTGCTTTATTTTCTAATAACACAGCAGACTAGTTTCAATAATCTGCACTTATACTATAGTTCAGTTATACACGGTAGATATTAGCATTGTTTAAAATACCGATAATTATTGAAACTGTGTGTTTTGATGTGATTATTGACTGAAATTACTGAAATCATTCAGTGTAGTGATGTAGAACTCTAATGCACTCAAAACCTGCCGGAACTACTTCAGCTGTGTGTTTATTTGAAAATAATGGCACACCTTAGAACCCTCATCAGCCAATCAAATTCAAGCATTCAACAGAGACTTTTTTGTTCACTCTCTGTAGGCGATATCGAATCAAGCCCGTGTGTTCAGATCTCCAGAGTCAGATCTTGAAGTGTTACGCTGAGAATAAAGGACAAACTATGTGCTGCTCCAACATCGCGTCGCTGTACATCCAGTGTGTGGACCGCGCCAGACAGGTGAACCACACTTTCATTAATGTACTGGTTAAAAAACGAGTTTAGCTGTTTGGAGCATTTACTGCAGAAAAGTAATGATACTAAAAAAAGATGCTGGGTTGTTGTGACCCAACGTTAGGTAGAATATTGACGAAACAAACCATTGGGATAAAAGGTGTTATTTAAATTAATTTGAAGAAATTAATTCAGGGTTTGTTCATATTTGACCCAATGTTGGGTTCTTTGTTTTGATTAAATATACAGGTTTTTTTTTAAATTTAACTTAAATTACACTTTTTTTTTTAACCCAGTGTTTGGGTTTGTCCATAGTTGACCCAAATTGGGTTAATTTTTTTCAGTTTAACTTAAATTACACTTTTTAACCCAGTGGTTGGGTTTGTCCATAGTTGACACAATGTTGGGTTAATGTTTTTTCAGTTTAACTTAAATTACACTTTTTGGTCCCACTTTATATTAAGTGTCCTTAACTACTATGTACTTACATCAAAAAAATAAATACAATGTACTTACTGTGTTTATTATGTATTTGAGAACACTTGTGGTGCTCTTGAGTTGTGATAGGGGTTGGGTTATGGACAGGTTTGGTGGCATGGGTAGGTTTAAGGGTGGGTTAAGGTGTAAGGGATGGTCAACAGTGTATTTACAAACGTAACTACAAAAGTTAATTACAGATGTAGTTACATGTATTTAATCAAGCTTAAGTACACAGTAAATACATGTATTTAAGTACATTGTAACAAACTATTAATTCCTGTGTAAGTACATATTAGTTAAGGCCACTTAAAATAATGTGGGACCCACTTTTTTAACGCAGTGTTTGGGTTTGTCCATATTTGACCCAATATTGGGTTAATTTTTTTTTCAGTTTAACTTAAATTACACTTTCTAACCCAGTGGTTGGGTTTGTCCATATTTGACCCAATGTTGGGTTAATTTTTTCCAATTTAAATTAAATTACACTTTTTAACCCAGTGGTTGGGTTTGTCCATATTTGACCCAATGTTGGGTTCATTTTTTTAATTTAACTTAATTTACAGTTTTTTTTAACCCAGTGGTTGGGTTTGTCCATAGTTGACCCAATGTTGGGTTAATTTTTTTTCAGTTTAACTTAAATTACACTTTCTAACCCAGTGGTTGCGTTTGTTTATATTTGACCCAATGTTGGGTTAATTTTTTTAATTTAACTTAATTTACAGTTTTTTTAACCCAGTGGTTTGGTTTGTCCATAGTTGACCCAATGTTGGGTTAATTTTTTTTCAGTTTAACTTAAATTACACTTTTTAACCCAGTGGTTAAGTTTGTCCATAGTTGACCCAATATTGGGTTAATTTTTTCAGCTTAACTTAAATTACACTTTTTTACCCAGTGGTTGGGTTTATACATATTTGACACAATGTTGGGTTAATTTTTTATTATTTAACCTTAATTACACTTTTTTTTACCCAGTGGTTGGGTTTATACATAGTTGACCCAATGTTGGGTTAATTTTTTATTATTTAACCTTAATTACACTTTTTTTACCCAGTGGTTGGGTTTATACATATTTGACCCAATGTTGGGTTAATTTTTTTTATTTAACCTAAATTACACTTTTTATCCCAGTGGTTGGGTTTGTCCATATTTGACCCATCATTGGGTCACAACAACCTAACATTGTTTAGAGTGAATGTGCAACGTAATGGTGATTTTTGCTGAATTATTTACAGATTTGTTGTATTTATTGTTTCAGGATGAAAAGTTGAGCACTGGAGGTTGAGTTACCGGCCTGAACAGGAGAATAAAAATGGGTCATCACATTGAAAACACATCTAAATCAGTACCAAACCTTTGCTTTAACTGTTTAAAGCGCACCGTGCAGAAAATCATCTTGCAAACATCATAAGGGAATCATACCTCAGTGGAAAAAATGGATTTTTACATATTTATACATATCTTTAGGAACGAGAGCCGTGATTATTACCTCATGAATTATTACCTCAAAATATTTCAGACTCTTTCAACTGTGAAGTTTTCTTCTTTCTTTCTTGTTTGCATGACTAAAGATTCTAAGCAATGCACAATCTGAAAGCTGCAGTCTGATGTTGGTTTTGCATAGACGAACTTTAGTGCCTTTTGCTTTGAAATCTCTATTTCTTAGACAAGTTTATTTGACTTTTTAATAGCAGAGCTGGCTTTGGATTCAGATTTGTCAAAGGAAAAATGCTGTTTAAATTGCAGAATGCATATGTTTGTGCCACTTGCAGATCTGTGTTCATTTGTTTTAGCATCTTTACATTAAAAAACATTTTGATTTTGAGGCTGGCTTTGTGTTTGTATAATGACATTAGGACGTAATGTTGAAAGTTTATGTGTAATTATATTCCTTTCATTTGTTAAAGTATTAACTCTTGTGTGCTGTTGGGGGTGTTTTCATTCTCTCTGGGGTGATTTTGAGGCTTAATTTGGCCACAGCTTTCTCTGTGTTTTAGCAAATGGAAAGAATTTTGCTGATAAATTTGATTGTTTTTGCCCCATTGACTTTTTTATTATAATGATATTTTTGATTGCAAAGCCATGACAGCATATAATCATGCTTTCTTCATTGTTGGTGGTATTCCATGTTAAGAAGAGGTACATTTTTTATTTTGTTTTTACTGTCGATCATCTGTTGTAGTGCAAAAAAAGCTTAGTTACTGTCTTCTATATGGAGGATACACTCACCTGTCCAACTGCTCATTAACGCAAATTTCTTTTCAGCCAATCACATGGCAGCAACTCTATGTATATAGGCATGAAGAAATGGTCAAGACGATCTGCTTCAGTTCAAACCGAGCATCAGAATGGGCAAGAAAGGTGATTAAAGTGACTACGAACATGGCATGGTTGTTGGTGCCAGACGGGCTCGTCTGAGTATTTCAGAAACTGCTGATCTACTGGGATTTTCACGCACAACCATCTCTAGGGTTTAGAGAAAATAGTCTGAAAAAGAGAAAATATCCAGTGAGCGGCAGTTCTGTGGGCGCAAATGCCTTGTTGATGCCAAAGGTCAAAGGAGAATGGCCAGACTGGTTCCAGCTGATAGAAAGGCAACAGTAACTCAAATAAGCACTCGTTACAACCGAGGTCTGCAGAAGAGCATCTCTGAACACACAACACGTCCAACCTTGAGGCAGATGGGCTACAGCAGCAGAAGACCACACCGGGTGCCGCTCCTGTCAGCTAAGAACAGGAAACTGAGGCTACAATTCACACAGACTCACCAAAACTGGACAATAGAAGATTGAAGAAACATTGCCTGCTCAGATGAGTCTCCATTTCTGCTGCCACATTTGGATGGTTGGGTCAGAATTTGGCATGAAATCATGGATCCATCCTGCCTTGATTCAACAGTTCAGGCTCGTGGTGGTGTAATGGTGTGGGGGATATTTTCTTAGCATACTTTGGGCTCATCAGTACCAATTGAGCATCGTGCCAACGCCACACCCTACCTGAGTGTTGTTGCTGACTATGTTCTCTGTACTGTACTCAAATGGCCTCCACAGTCACCAGAACTCAATTCAATGGAGCACCTTTGTGATGTGGTGGAGCGGGAGATTGGTATCATGGATGTGCAGCCGACAAATCTGCAGCATCTGTGTGATGCTATCATGTCAATATGAAGCAAAATCTCTGAAGAATTTTGCAGCACCTTGTTGAATCTATGCCACGTGGATTAAGGTGGTTCTGAAAGCAAAATGGGGTCCAACCTGGTACTAGGAAGGTGTACCTAATAATGTGGCCGTAAAAAAACCCCAGCTAAATTATAGGCCAGAGGGGGAAGTCAAATGATATTTTGTTTCACTTTGAAATGTACTGTAGATATCTGGACTAGAAACAAGACAATAATATGAAGTAAAAATCCCATTCATTATAATTACAGTAATTAAATACAATTCTATAGTTTCTGGTCAACTATAATTCAGACTGAACATTGCATATCTTGTGCTTACATTGCGCTATCAATGCTAAAACAATATATTGTGCAGCCTGTGCATACTTCTAAACTGTTTCTTAATGTTGAAAACTTAAAATTATAAGTTAAACAGTACAACAAAGGAAAGAATGAGGTAGATACTGATGATTTTCAAGTATTCTCTTTAGTCCATGGGTCTCAAAGTCAATTCCTGGAGGGCCGCAGCTCGGCACAATTTTGCTCCAACCCTAATGAAACACAGCTGATCCAAACAATCAAGTTGCTCAAAAGAGTCTTGAACACCTTGATTAGTTGCATCAGATGTTTTGGAATAAAGTTGGAGCAAAATTGTGCAAAGCTGAAGCCCACCGAGAATTGACTTTGAGACCCATACTTTAGTCCAGGGGTGCCCAAACTTGGTCCTGGAGGACAAGTGTCCTGCATTGTTAAGTTCCAACTTCCTTCAACACATCTGCTTGGAAGTTTCTATTACAGGGGTCACTAATCTCGTTCCTGGAGGTCCGGTGCCCTGCAGGGTTTTGCTCCATTTTGCCTCAACACACCTGCCTGGGTGTTTCAAGTATACCTAATAAGACCTTGATTAGCTTGTTCAGGTGTGTTTGATTAGGGTTTGAGCTAAAATCTGCAGGACACCGGCCCTCCAGGAACAAGTTTGGTGATCCCTAATTCCTTATGGTTCTCTATCCCAAATCTTATCTTTGAAAAATGTGGTGGCCTACACTTTTTACTAACTTGTGATTTTAAGTGTTCTAAAATTCCTATTAAGATGTCAAATTTTCATAAACAAGCCTTGAATGCATGGAAACTGATTTATAAGCATAACTTCCCCCCCCCCACTCATGTATTATCTGGAACAATCAGTATATTTTATTAAAAAACAAGTCCATATTTTGGAATGATTATGTTAAAAAAGGAGTAATTTTTGTTACAGACTTATTAAATCGTGTAGGGGACTTATATGATTACAATGAATTTATTAATAGTTTTGGTTTAAAAATTACTTTGATTGAATGCAGAAAATTTGTTCATTGTATTTCCCAAAAATTACTTCACCCTATTAAAACCGCAAAAATATACAACCATGTATCTGGCTCTCACCCAGAGCTTACTATTAAGGGCCTTTCTATCAAGGATAAAAAATGTAATAACAATTATATCAGGAATATCCTAACTGCAGATAAAAGTGTTCCTCCAATTGCAATGGTTACATGGAAACGAGCATTCCCTTCAATCTTCTTTTCCCCAAAAATCTAGTCAGATACTACAAAATACATAATTCCTAATGAAGTAAAAGAAACAAATTTTAAAATATTACATAGATATTATACATGCAATGATTTTATAAGTAAGTTTAAGGAAGGTTTTTCACCCTTGTGTTGTTTTTGTAAAATGGAATCTTCATTTATTTTTCAGTTGCAGTTACACAAAACAGTTTTGGTCCCAAGTTTCCTTACTACTTTTTGAAGTGTTTTATAAATTAATCAGTATATCTTAGCAAATGGTTTTTTTTTACGGATTGCAACTCTGGATTACTGGAAATGGACAAAATAACTAAAATTCTTATTTTATTTGGAAAGTATCACATCCACAAAACAAACTGTATTCTGACTGTACCTAATTGTAAACTATTTTTCATTGATCTAAAACTTTTTTATGATTCCCTCACTGCTATACAAAGTAATACCAAAGCTATTAAGACATCTCAACTACTGGAGAAAATACTTAATGTACACGATTAATGTTTGTTGTTAATTCCGTTGTATACTGTTTTATGTATAACTCTGTACACCCCTGTTTGATCAATATTTAAAAAGAGAAAGGTTTGGTGATCCCTGGTTTAATATAGCTTATCTAGTAAGAGCTTGATTAGCTGGTTCAGGTGTGTTTGACTGGGGTTGGAACTAGACTGTGCAGGACACCGGCCCTCCAGGACCGAGTTTGGGCACTCTTGCTTTAGTCACTTGTAGATTTGTTTTGGCTGTGCATCTTCAAACTAACATGTTTCCGCTAGATGTCACTGCCATCCACAGTCTGTGTCCTGAAACTCAACACTATTCCCGTATTCCTGATGTATCTTTTGAGCCATGCTGGTCTAGAAGGTTAAAAGGACGACCAGCCCGACCCTGTAATCCCATTTTCTGAGCCTGTGATCGGCAGGATCACATCAATAAGGTTAGTATGAAATGAACATGGCCAGTAAAATAATCACAGATGCACTTCTATCTATAGCTTGCTTTTATTTGATGATTGATTCCCAATGCATTATGAAGGGGTGTGCTGCAGGTTTGTCAGTGCAGTATGAGAGTGTGTGATGAATAAGAAATCATGTTCTGGCCTGCTCTGATAAGCGTGTGCTAGCAGCATGAACACATAGCCTAGATACAGCACAGCGGCTCATGCTAATTTCACATTGCCCTCTCGCTCCGCTTCAGCCCTCGATTGCACACGTTACGAAATCATGTTTGATGGGATATTTGTGCATAAAAAAAAACCTGAGCTCGTTATTAAAAGCAAAATTAATTGGCTCCTTGCGTAACATTTGATTCAAATGTTGCGTAATGTTAAAGGATTAAATTAGCGTTTCATAATTTACTCAGCACAATGCTGTTTCAGATATTTGTGTAGGATATTTTTAGTTTTTGGGGGTGTCCAGTTTAATTTATGAGCCATAAAATACTGTCATACATTTTCCTAGTGTTTTATAGAGGTAAAATTTCATTCAGTGTCCCACTCATAGATGTAAAAAACGAACCAATAGTTTATTTATTACAACCAATAAATGGCATGTGTAGTAGAACAAGAATGATTTTATTATCTATTAAAAAATACATTTAAGGATCTAATATAATTAAATCTTTTCAGTGAATCTATTGATTCAGTTAACAGATGATTACAAAATATCGCACTGCTACTCGTGTGATAGTGCTCATATATATATATATATATATATATATATATATATATATATATATATATATATATATATATATATATATATATATATACATACATACATCGTACATGCATACATATAGGCCATTTATATGGAGACACCTTATTAAACATATTGGGAATTTCACAAGAAAAACAATGGTATGCTTGGTTTTAATGTAACTTTATTCTTTAAAGAGTTATTTACAAGCCCCCTTTTGTGCCACAAACAGGACGCTAAAATCACCAACCATTCCCAGTTTATTAGGGTGTATCCATATAAATTGCTCACCCTGTGTATATATATATATATATATATATATATATATATATATATATATATATATATATATATATATATATATATATATATATATATATATATGTATATGTATATATATATATGTATATGT